TAATTAAGTGTGGCAGGTTGCGATTTGAATTAGGGATCAATTAATTTATTTCTTATTGCGTTTGATGCTGTTTTGGGTCTCTTCAGAAAGTGACTCTGCCCTGAAGAAGTTTCTAGATGAGACTGCAAACATGTCTGCTGATGACCGTGCCAAACATCTGGAGAAGAACCAGGTGAGATAAACATACACACTGTGGAAGCTGCTTATGTTCTTCTGTTAGCTGAATTCAAAAGAATAGAGATTTGGATGGATACATGTTGGAAAAGTATTTTAACTTACTCATCATCAAATAACACTTCAACTGCATTTACTACATTTTAAAAACAACAACAAATGTAAGCCCAAATCAAACACCCAATTTCTGTTAGTACCTACATGTTTTGTTTTGTCCACTTGGGGGCGGCAGACATCGTTAAATCTCTGTCACTATAAAGGCCAGCCTGATAACGGCTTTAAAAATGCTTGAATTTTGTTACACAATGAACGATTACAAATGTGTGCCATTTAAAAAAAAAAAAAAAAATTCAACAAGTTATTATTTTGAAGTTACATATCTGATTGTCATTTGAAACATCTGAACATGTGTATTTAATAAAAATAAAAAAAAGATCAGTTTTAAAGGTATTTAACTGACGCATGTTTGTTTCTCCTACAGGCAATCTATGAGGCTCACAATGAGGTTGCCGTGCAGGGCCAGTGCAGGGTAAGATATCCAAACGCAATATCCTCTACAGTAGGGCTGAGCAATTAATCGTATTTTAATCTCGATTACGATTTTGGCTTGCAACTATTACGAAAACAACGTAATCGAAATAAAACGATTATTTTATTGGTTTTTCAGTTGAATTATACTTAAAGTTCAGAGTTATCAACTGTTAAAAACATACTCTTCACATTTTTTTTTCAATAAATGGATGTTTTCAAAATAAATGGATAATCGTTTTTAATAATCAATTATTGACCAAAATAATCGTAATTATGATTTTTGCCATCATCGAGCAGCCCTACTCTACAGTACATATGGCCTACATTGTTAGCCACTTTTTAAAGTAGTAAATTCACTAAATTTGAATTATTCATGTGACACAGCTGACACATGCCACAGTTGAAGACATTCCAATCTGTTTCCCCATACACTGATAACGCTGAATACAAAGAATAATTATCAGAAAAAGATATACTTTTCAGTTTAACGTGTTTCCCAATATGCACTCTTTCTTTCTTGATAGCCCATTTGTGTGCTCTCTCTCTTTATGTAACAATATTTACTCTGAATTAATTCCTCATATCTTAATTTCCCAGCCGGAAGCTGACAAAGTCAACTTCCACTTTATTGCCTTTGTCAATGCAAATGGACAACTTCATGAATTTGGTAAGCATTTCAACTCCTTATGCACACTCTTCTGTGTTTTTTTTTTTCATGTCTTTGATCCTAAAATATATGATCTGTTTTTTAAGATGGAAGAATGAATGGACCAGTGAAGCATGGAGATACCAAAGATGGGTCATTTATTACGGTAGGCAAAACTATAACCATTTACATTGTGTAGCCATTCTGGATTCGTTGGTATGTCATTGTGAGCCCAGTTCCTTTTATGCTTGTGATCTGTGATGAGTCATGGTATTAGACTGGAATAGGGAGTGGCCATTTCCGAGTATCTTGACTCAATCAATAAACTTGGCTAATGCACGCTCTCACATCTCCTATAGGGATCATAAAAAATATGGGGACTGGTAGGAAGATTGGTAGACATTTTAAACATTACTTTTCTACAAGAATCTCAATGTAATGATGATTTAAGCAATGCCAACCACCAAGTAACTTTGTAAGCCAAGACTGGTTGTTAAATGTTAGGTGAATAATGCATTTTTTCTCTCTGAGAATCATAGTGAATATGACTGATACAACTGCAAAAACAATCCGTCTGAAAGAGTGCAGTTAAATTCATCTAAAGTGTCGAGAAATTGTCGCATAAAACCACCACATGATGGCGCTACATGCATTAGAAATGAAATCACAACATTAAATGTTCATATGATGTATTGGCTATCATGTAAAGAAATAAGTATAAACCCTTAGCAATAGTAGAGATACCTTCATAGATACATAAAAGATAATGGGAGAAAAAAGTTGCAGACTTGAATTTACAGCTTCTATTTAGTGTCATCGATTATATGAAATGTTGATATACAGTATTTATGAAGTGTAACAATCATTTTAGGGCTGCTTCTGGTAATACTGTAAACACGCTTTTAAAAGAACGGTACAAAATGTTTTACGACTCCAACCATATTTAATCACACCAACCCCCTTTTATATTATTCATATTTGATTAATGGTACCCAGCCCTACTGGGAATTATAAAGATATTGGCAGTAAAATGAACCCGGATATTAAAAGATCCTCCTTCTTAGGACAGTCTTTCCTTCATGGCTACTAACATCAGATGTCTTTAGTGTAGTGTAGTAAAAGTAGTTCTGGTGTATAGTGATACAAATAACTTTAACCTTGAGTAGAAGTACATTATCGTAAATTACATGCAAGTTTTATTTGCCTAATCTTTTTTTTAACTTGTAATCCATGCACAGGATGCGTCTAAGGTGTGCCGTGGATTCATGGAGAGAGAGCAAGGCGAGGTCCGTTTCTCTGCGGTTGCTCTCTGTCAGAGTTAAATGTTCGGTAGGACACAACCAAATTGTAAACCAAAATGTCCTGAAGCATTCACATGGCCACATTCAGCCGGCACCCAGAACAACCTGTGAACACACACACATCTGCAGACACTATGCACTGTAAAGCACACATTGTTGCCACATAAAGTACTTTCATCTCATGAACAAAGCATTCTTTAGCACATGTACACATACACACAAGGACACCATCTAACCCTTTTGTTCTGATGAAACTAATTGATACAAGCTAGCTAAACCTTTTTATGTGATATCATTCAGCAATGGGAATTGTAAAACATGAGGTTAGACCTCACCTCACAACTGCTTCTATGTGTCTTTTTGCAACTTGTTTTATATGTATTCATTGGTGCATCAGTGTCAAACTCTCAACACTGATGCTTACATAAATACCTTTTGTGCCAATAACTAGAATAAAGACGAGTGGGAAGGAAAAGGCAGAAAACATTTGCCTGTTTTTCTGAAAGCATTTAGTTCAGTTTAAAAGGATCTGACATTCCTCAGAACAGCCCAAATGTATCCGTAGGAGTAATTTAACCATTGTTAGGAGAATGCATGCAACCCTGGTTTTGAGTGGCATTTGTTCTTGGGTGACACTTCTCTGTAAATTGAGAATTTAAACCTCAAATTGGTGGTGGTGGATACCAGTTGTTAACCTATGTTTTCAGAAATTATTACAAGAGAATGTTGTTTGCACTTATTTTGAAATGGATTTTCTCTTAACAATGTAAAAATAGTCAAATACATTGTAAGTGTGCAAGTTTGACACATACAATACAAAACTTCAAAACACTGTAGGAACCATCGAAATAAAGTGTTCTATATTGGGGTGTTGTCGAGCTAGGCTGTGCTACAATTGTTTAACTTCCTGCACCGTTTTAATACTATGTTGCTGTAGTTCTGTTGGTGATGCAGCTGTGGGAATTCATTAAAGCAACCATTAGACTTAAATGTGTCGGCTGGTCTCTTTCTTTCTCTTCCTTCAAAACCCAATATTCAACCTTTTTTATTTGACCTCCTCCAGTTCCCAGTCGGCATTTTAGTTGAAACTTCTTTCACGCTCGTGTCATATAAGGTGATGAAGTGGTTAATGCCATGCAGCCCTCACAGCTGGGGGTTCATCCTGACTAGTGCTGGCTGCAGTTCAGCTGCAAAGAGATGAAACGGGAGGAGGATGACTGAAGAGTTGTTGATAGTCTGTTCAGTCTACTCATCACTGCTGACACAAGACCTTTCTCTGGGTTGAAAAGAGCATGCACAGTGTGATGTACAGTATAAGGCTCTAAAATACAGAGACATATCTATATTTTTAGGAAAGTGGGTATGGAAGTAAAAAGGGTACCACTGGTCTCCCCTTTAACTTTTCTTTCAAAATGGTCAGAAAATAGAGGTTAACCCTGCTGTTTTAAAAAGGTCACATTTTCATCCAATACTAAAGGGCAGCAGCTATCAACACAAATGGACTCTCAAATATCAATAGCACTGATTGCTTACAACACTGCTGAGGACTGCCAAGCTATTATTCTGTTGTCAGTTTGTTTTTAGTGCTATAGATTGTTCTAGCTTCTTCTAAATTATGATGAAACAAATCTCTCAGAAGCTGTCTTATCATACATGGGGCATTCTTATTTTTAGCAACTTAAGGCAAAGCTGTAAGACAGTGAGGTCATAATGTTGCCTTTAAGTATCCATTGGGTACAGAGCACACACTACTGTGTTGTGGGACAGCTTCATAATATTTTGCCCAGACAAAACACAACTGTCTTTGCATCATTGAAGCAAATAAATAAGAGAAAAAAATGTGGATATTTAAATATTTTGTGTGGGTCCCTATCAAAACACAGAACAACATTTGCATTTTACGAGTTTATTTTTGAAAAGTTATATGCAATTAATTAAATTAACTCAGGCCCTTGAGAGTCTCAGGGCCTGGGGGTAGATGCTTCTTTATTAATTGAATAATTAATTAAACAAATACAACATAGGCCCAGCTTCAAATAATTTAGGCTTTTTGTTGAATGTTTGAAATCTGAGGTCTTTTATTGACTCAAATTGAGCAATAACCCGTGAAAGCTCTACGTTTTTAAATGTCATTGTAACATTTCTATAAATCTTTGAAACCAGTGGACTTCTAATACTCTGGTAAGCATACAGCAAATCTCCTGAAACTGTCAATTGCAGCTGACGCAGGAGAAATAACGGGACATGTTTTTCAGTCTCTCTCCCTCTCTTCCCTCTATCTCTTTCTATATCTCTCGACCTCCCCCGCATAGATTCCTGTCTGCGCGTGCATGTCCCTTCTGAAATGCGCGGCAGCGGCCTCGCGCAGCGTCGCCTACAGGAATCATTATTTTTAGCGCCTGGCTCGTGTTGCAGTGTCGGGGTCGCAAGAAGCTTTTCTCTCCATCTCTGTTCAATTGGAGCAGGACTCGCAAACTGCGAGTTTTTGCACGAGAGAGCTACGCAACGCGCTGACTGCGTGAAGTTGCGGGTCGGTCGATGTTTGAAAGCGAGGAGGGGGATAACAGACTGACAGAGCAGGGGGGGGGAGCACCAACATATCGTGTCCCCATTTCACCAGCGTCCGATACACTCTCCGGTGCTCGTTTAACGGACAGCCAGGAGATGGCTAGCCCCACAGCAGGTCGAGAAGTCCCGGATGCTTCACCGCAGGACGAGCCGGAGGCGTCGGCTCAGCCCCATCCCGAACCAGCCTGTCTGGAGGCTCAGAAATGGATAGAGGTGAGTGAAAAGACGCTCCGGGAGGCTCACGGGCCTGCTGCTACAGCACCGCGGGACAGACACGTCCATTACTGGGGGATATAAATACATAGAGCACCGGTGCACCGTCACCTGTTGTGGGAACGATGCAGTGTCGGGTTACCGTGTGGGACAACGGCTCTGTATGTGTGGACAAACGTAAAAGTTTTAACATATGTGTGTGTCCTGGCGTTATTTAACACACACACCAGTAACGTGGGGGGCTTAAAGCAAGGACAGAGCTAGAAAAAAACAGAAAAGTAAAATTAAATCTCATAAAGTAGCCATTATGTACCGTTTGTTTTGATGTTTTTACTTGCTCGGTGGTGTAACGCCCCCTTTCTCCGGTTGAGAGGGGATTCCGGTTGCCATAGTGATAAAACCGGGCCAGCACTTAGCACTAGATGCTGTAGCGTTGATCCCATCGAATGAGATTATTATTCGGGGTTTGCTGCATCGCTTCTTCCACCACCATCATCTGCTTGGATAAAAACGTCTCTCTCTGTGAGCCAGAGCGGTGAATCATGATTTTGCCCTGTGGAGCTGAGTTATGGTGACCTATTTTCTGCCGTCCCTGCTTCAGGCTATAGCTACCTGCCAACTAGCATCTCAGCTTTGGGTAATAAAGTCTGGAAGTACAACAAAAATGAGCTCTAAAGCTCTAAACTGAGTTTTGGCTTCAGCTTCACACGGTAGATGTGTTTTCACAGGACTCCCACTATCTCCATCCATACAAGCTGTGGTAGATTGCAGAGAGTGAGATGGATAGTTATATTACAATCTGAATTGCAGTTATTGCAAGACTGCAAACACCTTGACACAGAGTTAGAATTGTTGTAAAATAGATAAAGATAGAATGATTCTTTCCATTGTCAAAGAAGTAGAAAGGTGAAAATATTCATGACTGAAAATAACAAACACTTATGAAACAAATGTATGATTGATTATTCAACAACAATGTGTTTGCAGAGGACATTTCGGATTAAATGTTGAAAAGGTTATGGCACTGATTTGAAGGAATTAAACGCTCTTCTGCTTGTGGATATTTTTTTATAAAAAAAGGATAACAAAGATTTCTTATATATTCCAGTTTGAAGGATAAAGTTTTCCAAACATCGCAAAAACATAAAGTGCTTTCCTATAACCTTAAACGTTTTCAAAATCCAAGATATAGAGCAAATTAAAAGAGATTTATTTAGATATAAAATGAAAAAAATGTTTTTATTGATAAAACTAATATTTATGTTATTTAAAAGAAATATCTAATTAAATTATAAAAAGGCCTTGGTTTTAAAAACATTTAGTTTAAAGCGTAAGAATAATAGAATTGGTAGTCTGCATTTCTTTGGGGGGCATTCCTAGTCAATCAGAAGTACAATTGACCTCTTACATGACATCCCTCTTAAATGAAGTTCATCTTGCTCCCAGTCAAAGCGTTGTGGTCTTTTGGATCCCAAAAAAACGTTATTAACAGGTTTTGTTACCAGGAAGGGGACCATAAGCACATTTTGGTCTGCATTTAAAAATAATCAATGCTAGTAGTCTAGGTCAAAGTTGCTCTAGGTCTTATTCTCTCCTGTAGTGTATTCCTCTTGCTTTGTCGTCCTGCTGCCTCCTAATTCTCCAGTTATTTAAAGTCCGGTCAGGCCGACTCTATTTCTAGTGGTGTATTTATGCACTTTCACAGGTGTGGATGATTCAGGGTTAAACACGCCACCCTACGCTCCATGCTGCATTTTCAGTTTGTGTGCCTCTCTCTAAGAGTATGCAAAGTGTATTCACTCACACAAATGTCAATCAGCTATGCATGATACAGCTCACACACTCCTCAGACACGCCCCGGTTGGGTGACACTGGTCACTATGGGAACATAACATGCGGCCTCTCAGGTGTCACTGTTTCCAGGGGGAGCAGTAGGCAATCTATCACCACATGACCAGAGCAGGAAATGACACGGGTACAGACAAGACCTTTCTATCTGTTTATAGACGAGACAAGGCAGGATTAGACTGTCTCAAAGCTGATGCACACCATCGACTGTGCTTAAACCTGGTGGATGTGTCATTGATTGAGCTGATTAAAGTTGGACATGCTTAGAGGAAACATAACGTAAACTTTGGTGACAGCAGCTAACCTCTGCTGTCACCGGCATACAGTACATAGCGGGTGAGGTCAGTCACACAGGGGAATAGATGGACCAAAGAATATATTTGTGTGTGTGCCAGATGCCACAGCTGTCTGTCCGAGGCAGATTAACTCCAATGGTCGCAGACAGCCAGCTGTGTCCGCACAAGAGAGAGAGAGAGAGAGAGTGTGAGAGCAGGGATTCATGGGATTTTCCATGCATTAAATGTTGTATGAAAGAATGTGGAATAAGGATGGGATAGACTTACTGTTCGCACAGATGTCTTTCATGCCTCAGTGATTTTTGAAGTTTTTGTGTTGCCAAAATACTTGCAGTTTCCCACGGATAAAACGACACATCTTGGCATGGTGCAGATTTCATGAGCATTACTTCAGGTTGTGTTGTATTAAAAAAAAGTGTTACGCTTAACTTTACTTCATTTAGGATGCAAAGGACACTGAAATGTACATAAACAGACTCCTAGTGGGGGAAATAACATACCTACTTTTTCGATTAAGTGTATTTTGTACTTATCTCAGAAGTTAAATAAAGATTCAATTACAAATTACATTTGACTTCATTTCTATGCGCAGAGTGACATATTTGTATATTAAAGGTCACTATCTTATTTTTCCCCGTTTTGTATATTATCATTGATTTAAAAATACAAAATAACATGCCATGGTTACGTTATGATAGCTCCTACATATCACATGTAACTAAACATTTTAGTGTACTTTTACCACAAATTCATTTGACTGTGATATAGTACAGTAAGTGTGCTCAGAGGAAGTACTCTGGTTCCTCATGTTGAACAGATATTCATTATCTGGTGGTTTCTAGTGTCCAATCACTGGTTATTTTCTCCAGATTAAACTCATCTTCAATCTGGATTATGACTTAATCTTTACGGATTCCTCTTTCAGTTTTTCTTTTTGTGTTTTTCTCTTTTTTTCTGTGTGTCACGATAGTCCATTAGTGTGCAGGATGCCTACAGCACATTATGACATACCGAGGTTAATGCTTCTGCAACAGCACACATTGAAACAGCAGCCTCTCAGCTCTTTGTGCATCAACTGGGACTCTAACCCTATACATCTCCATCAAGTGGCTCTACTGGGAGCACATGGGCAGTTAAGCTTGGTTCAACAATGTGCATCCCATAAATCAACTTTACATTTGAGTCACAAGCATTGAATTGTAATATTTGATGCCAGAATTGTTCTATGGCTTTTCTCGCAGGGACTGCTTATGAAATGTAGCTATGTCGCTAACTCTAGCGTAATCCATTTTCCTTGTTAATCAAATTTACTTAAAAGGAATTTCCCTTTGAGCTTGGTGGATAAAATAAGTCCTGTAATAGAAGTATTTATTTTTCAGAAAAACAGTAGCTTACCTCTCAGATTTGAATGGTAATACGTGAGAACGTGGGGTCATTTCAGGATATGGACTGTTTGTCCCATGATATATATAAACATCAAACTGTCAGTGCAGCAGCATGGCCTCTTATTATTTGTAGAACTTTTAGTCGGAGCCTATATAATCGTGGCTTTCCTGAGCTGTAATAAAACACAGCATGTGATGTGCGTATTAAAAATATCACATCTAACTTAATTTACTGCATATTTTTCTGCTCCCGTGCTCTAATTTGTAGCCTCTCATTCCTTCATTTTTTTTTTACAGTTGTTAAAATACAAGAAACGTGTAATTTGGCCTGGTTCTGCTTCCCCTCTTCCCCACACACAGTTTAAATGGTAGCTGCTGCTGCTGCTGCTGCCATTCACCCAGACTGAGCAGAGCAATCCTCCATGGAGACTGACAGGGAGCGAGGGTCGAATTACTGTTGAAACGCCCTGAAGGCCTTTGAAATGGTTTTTGGAGCAGTGATGAATGCTCACTTATCACACGTCACTCTCTCATGCCAATCTGTTGTCCTCTGCTTATATATTTTCATCCCAATTTAATCCAAAACATGTAAGCGCACATCAGCCACTGTGTCTATCTTTTGCACTTCAGTTTCTGCATTTTATTCATAACCAATCGTTATCCACCTCCACCCCTTACAAACTGTCTGTGGCCTTTATCACACACACACACACACACACACACACACACACACACACACACACACACACACACACACACACACACACACACACTATCCACACAAACAGTCATCCTGCTTTCCCTCAATATCTCCTTGTGCAGTACATTTGTCATGACCATGCTGTAAATGTTTCAAGATCTAGAGTGTAACCTTGATAAACTGTGTGTGTGTGTGTGTGTGTGTGTGTGTGTGTGTGTGTGTGTGTGTGTGTGTGTGTGTGTGTGTGTGTGTGTGTGTGTAAAATGATGATAGACAAGAAAAATAAAGTGATGCCAATGGGAAACATCTGGTCTTCACTTATAAAACAATAGGCTTTTTTCAGAGTGTGTGTGTGGGTGTTTTCCTGTCATATGTTTGGTACACGTGCATTTGAACTTCACAAAAATAAATACAAATGATTTGCTAAATATTACCTGAAATAAAGGACAAACAAAACAGAAAATAAACACATCAAAGACTAATTCTCTTAATAACTAAAAATATGATTTATTGTTGTCAGTTGCAGACAAAAATAGACCCATTTACTCAGCGTGTGTTGTTTGTAGGAGGATGTACAGTATATTATAGCATACAATATACTGTATATGAGAAGTGGAGACATAGAGAGAATGTGTGGCTGCAGTTAGCAGTTTCGGTGCTAACTATAATCTGTGCTAATCTGGATTAGAAGTCTCTAAAGAGTCGAACCTCTCTTATTTTCTGCTGATCTTTGGCTGCTGGTTACACAACAGCTCCAGAAAGCAGTGTGCGGACTGGTAATATCTCACTCCTCCTCTCCGGCCTGTGCAGGGAAGACGTCAAACTGGAGTTCAGGTTAGAGGATTGAGGTTATGGTCCAATCTAAATCAGGAAAATGGAATGAGGACAGAGAGCAGTGTGTCACTCTCATTTGGTTTCTACTGAAGCAAAACATGTTGGGGGAAGGGTGAACTGGGCAGCAGCAGGTTCCTCTGTCAGCGACACAATGAGGCACTATTCAGCAGACCTTATGCACTTCTTTACTTGATAATCAATAGATTATAACAACAAAAATATACTTTCAGACAGAACAATGAATCATAAACTAAACATCCTCGGATTTTGGTTTGTTCAGGATATCGTCCTCGGCTCTAGGAACTTGTAATTAAAATGTCCTATAATAAATAATAACTTGATTATCAAAAAATAACTAATGAAGAAGGAATCATCACTAAAACTATTAGGTAGTTGCAGCCATATTTTTTAGTCCACCTCCTCTACATCTGTGTCTTCCTTTGCCCCCCAGGCTGTAACAGGGAAGAGCTTTGGAGAAAAGGACTTCCGCAGTGGACTGGAGAACGGCATCCTGTTATGCGAGTAAGCTTCTGACATCCCCCCCACTCAGTTTTGATGTCTGAAGCAGCAACAACATACATTAACTCCTCCTAAGTCTCAATAAATCTCTGCTTCTCCCCTCCTCCTCTGTCAGGCTGCTGAGTGAGATCCAACCAGGGCTGGTCAAGAAGATCAACAGACTGCCCACCCCCATCGCTGGCCTGGTAAGAGGACACTCTCCAGTGTGACATCAACACTGTGAGCCGGCCTGTTCGTCAAAGTGATAAACTCTGACTGTGGTCCCCTGCTCTCTGTCTTACAGGACAACCTATCTGTCTTCCTGCGGGGCTGTGAGGAGTTGGGCCTGAGGGGCGCCCAGCTGTTCGACCCCGGGGACTTGCAGGACACTTCCGTACGAGCTAACCTCAAGTAAATAGCTGTGTGTGTTTGTGTGCCTTTCTTTATTGCCCATTTGAAAGGGATAGTTTGGATTGTTTGAAATGAGGTTGTATGATGGACTTATTCATAATAAGTGGATCCCAAACGTGTATATTTTGCGTGTGCAGGATTTCCGTCGTCAATGGAGAAAGATTTGTAGCATTGATTTATTGAAAAAGCCTTAACTGTTACGTTACGTTCCTTATACCTCTTCCACCTACGTACCGATTCTTTCCTTAAAGGTCATCTATTATGCAAAATCAACTTTTTCATGTCTTTTATAAATAATCATGTGTCCCCTCTGTGTAAAGAGATTCTGAACGTTTCAGGAAAAAAGATTCTCTCTCTTTTTTTCCTGATCCATTTCTATAAAAACCTGTCTGAAAATGAGCCGATCAGATTTTGGCCACTTTATGATGTCATAACAATTTTTTGGCTTGTGTAACCATTAGCCAAATCTTGTTAACCAAATATCTCTCAGAGGGGCGTGGGGAGGGGCTCCTTGTTTTCATCTANCAAATAAAAAAAAACAGCGATTTCGCAATGTCCATCTTGAAATTGATTATGAAAATTCCACAAGACTGGACGCCAACACCACATTTTTTGTAGTGTTTTGAAGGAAAATGGTTTTTTTGTTCAGTTAAAAATAGAGGTTCATAATGTCGAAAAAACATAGAAAAGTAGGACCGATTTGATAGGAAAAAATCCACACAAAATAGGTGTGCTAAAATATAAAGGTCCTTCTTAAGTTAGTTGCGAAGGAAGATGGTGCACGTCTAAGCTTTTAAGGAATAACTTAAGATAAAACATTACATGCATTTAGCGACGCTTTTATCAAAAGCGAAACTTAAAGTGCATTACGACACCAAGAAAGATACAACCTTGAAGAAAACAGAATCATAAAGAAAGTCAGGTTTACATAGAGCCAAAATTTCAAAAAACAACACAACCTGCTTTAGATAAGCCAGTCCTTATTAAGTATAGTAAGTGCTTGTTGAATTCTAGTCGCTCGAAGTGGAGTCAAAAGAGATGAGTTTTCAGTCGGCGCGCAGATGTGCAACAACAACAAATGTAGTATTAAGATGTCATGCAACCCGTCATGGGTATTTTGAATCGACTTGCCAGTTAACCAACAGATCAAATGTGCAGAGACATTCTCCCTCTCCTTTCTTTTATCCTGTAATCTTTCGATGCCCCTGGGGAAATAGGAAGGAGGGGCCTGTTGTTTGTTACAAAAACAAAAATGTGTTTGTCCCCGTCCCTGTTTGGTGTGACCCTGCGCACCCCAACAAAGACATGAAACTAGAAATCCATCCCCCGCACCTCCTCCATGCGCATCTGGTTTCCTCCCGCTCCTCCCCCCTCCCCTCTTCACCGTGTCACATCACCAGCACTCATGTGAGCCAGAGAGTCTTCAACTCCGTTGAGGTTGAGATAGGTCCGCTGTAGGAGGCGCAGCCGCTGGCAGCTTCCAAGCCAGAACAGGGTGTTCAGACCTGAGAGATACATGGAGTGTTGAAGTATATTCATAATTGCTAAAACACACTGATAAGAAGATAAAGCAAGACAAATAAATGAAATAGCAAATAATGACTCACATTTTTAGTTTGCGGTTGCAGTCAAGGTCCCTGATGACAGAGAAGTTTGTAGGGTCCAAGCGAAACTACGTTAAAAGGATTAGTTTTGGATTTTGCAGCGGGTTAATACGGTTATTATCCATAGTCAGGTGTTTATCTAGCAGTAGAGATGGTAAATCAGCATGCCTGTGTTTCAGGCTGGATGTTAAGCTGCGGTGACTGGACATCAGCTAAACATATGTCAAGATAACAGAGCCTTTTGAACACATCAAGTTTTTGTCTACCCTTGCATTGATCGTACTTTTTGTTTTTTTTTACTTGGTCAAGTTCAGAATTCCCCCAAATACACAACAGCAAAACCAGGTTTTTTGACCAGGATTTGCAAAAACACTGCACCTCCATTAAGGGTCTCCTATTATACTATTTTTCATGCAAATATATCAGGTCTCAGATATAGCAAAAACATGTCTCGCAAGTGGTTTCGCCTCAAAATACCAACAGATCATTAGGCGCCTTCAATCCGCAGTATTTTCCACAAAGGTTCATGAGAACTTAGTTCAATCAGAACTCCTTTAGTTCTGATGAACTAAGTACAGATCCGCGTTCAGCACCGAATAAGTCCCTGGGGTGGATTAGGCAAATGAAGCCGCTGACGTCACTTCTCTCTTCTGCTGGTTAACTGCAGCCGCAACAAGCTCACGGCGATACTGCCACCCAAAAATCCCTCCCGGGCCGGAATCCCACGGATGGGACTGGCTTCAGTAGAAGCTCTGGACTCCCACACTCTACTGAAGCCTTCCGAGTAAATCGCCAGAACGCCGACATCTCCTCATCTCCACCGCTCCCATGTTTTATTTTGTGTTGCCATAAGTTAGTTATTCTCTCTGCGTTTCTGTCGCTGGGCTAATGCTAATAATGCTAATGCGAGGATAATAAAATGGTGGCTTCACAACACTTTTTTCGAGTTTTACGGGGCGGGGTTTGCAATCCGCCCAGCCAATCAGAAATATAGCTCTTTTCTCACAAGAGAGTCCCTGCTCTCTAGCAGGAACGGAAAAGGGGGTAAAAAGGTTCTCATGAACTAATTTTAGTTCCGGCTCTTTTTGGTGTGAACGCGACATTTCGGAACTACATCGGAACTAAAGTGGGAAACTCGGCTATTGCAGCATCCCATAATCCCCTCTGTTTCAGCCTTGTTTCAAAAGTGCTGATTCTCTGTCTGTTACTTTAGATGAAAACAAAGAGCCCCTCCCCACGCCCCTCTGAGAGATATTTGGTTAACAAGATTTGGCTAATGGTTACACAAGCCAAAAAATTGTTANATAATATAAGAAGCTCCCTCAAGAAAATGCCTGGGTTGAGAAAATGATTGCAAAGGAGGCCATAAGGAAGGAAAACATTTGAAGGGTTGCACAAAGGCTTTTCTAAGCCTTTGTGCAACCCTTCAAATGTTTTCCTTCCTTATGGCCTCCTTTGCAATCATTTTCTCAACCCAGGCATTTTCTTGAGGGAGCTTCTTATATTATTGGTCTTACTCTACATCATGCTCCTTTCCATATATTGTTTTAATGCTCTATGTTTTTTTAATTTGTGTTTCTAGGAAGGTGATGAAAGTGGTGACGGTTCACAGAAGCGCAGTGTGAGGGACAGCGGCTACGACTGCTGGGACTCTGAGAGAAGTGACTCTCTCTCTCCACCGCAACACACTCGTGACAACTCCCTAGACAGGTGAGAGACATCTGTCAGCACACACACATACCAGAATATATAGACGCACACAGCGGGGATATTTCAGATAACTGATGAAAGGTTGAATACAGCTACTTCCTAATTTTAGAGACACACATTTGAAACTTTAAAACTGGTTCCATTGATACAAAACCCACACTTGAGTTTGAAATAATGTGTTTTTTAAACCAGTTTTCTTTCTTTTTTTGACAGTCTGGACTCCATTGGCTCTCGCTCACAGCACAGCCCTTCTCCTGATGTGGTGAATCGAGGCAACAGTGATGGTTGGTTCTGATGTGTCTTTATATAATATTTCTGAATGTCTGCCCCAGTCTTTTTCAACAAACATGAGAGTAGATATAGATCTTCTCATGTAACTTTATTAAAAATAGCAAATAAGCATATTGCTCAAACATCCCTTTAAAGCAGGAATACAAAACCCACTCACCCATAAATAATCCGACTGCTGTCCCCTCACGTGTGGGGGTTTTAACCTTGGTATGTTATGGCCAGTCAGGCGGCCTGTGAATAACAGCTGAACGTCCAGACACTGTGTGTGTGTGTGTGTGTGTGTGTGTGTGTGTGGGTGTGGGTGTGGGTGTGGGCGTGGGCGTGGGTGCGTGTTGGGGTTTGTGTGTGTGTGTGCCCCAGATGCAGCAGCTGTTGATCTGGGTAGCAATCATAAAATATTTGAACCTGTGAAACACAAGCTGAGGTCAACATCGTGTGTGTGTGTGTGTGTGTGTGACAGACATCCTGTGTGTGTCTTTTACGTTGACACTTTGAAATGCGTGCATTGCCGTGCAACAGAGTGACAAGAAAAACTCTATTCGAGAGCCGGGAATAGACTCTATCCATACATTCCCAGGGGGTCCGAGAGACAGTGTGTCGCTTCACCAAGTTATATTCATTACCCAACACGAAAGAAAGTCAGGGAATATAAATATACTTATTCTCTCTGTTTGTGTGTTTGCAAAATGCTGCATAGATTCATGTACAATACATGTGAAAAGTTGCCACGGAAAGAAGTGATATTTCTCACTGCTGTCACAATGGAGCGTTGCATTTAGAGAATGATTCATTGTTTACTGTAATGTAGGTCGTATTTTTCAGTAACCCAGCAAAGCCGAGGTAAAACCGAAACCTGACATGCTCAACGTGTTGATAATAATGATCCCTTATTCTCTTTTTAATAAGTTGGACTAACCTTGGTTGTTTTTTTTTCTAATCTGTCTGAGAGTCTGTATGATGGCTTTTGTTTTTAGCCTGACTTCTTATAAGCAATGGGCTATCTCCAGTCCTAGGCAATGCGGCTGTGCCTAAACCTGCATTTTCTTTCTATTGTGTAGCAGGGAGTGACTCCACTAGTTGGAAATAGAAATCCAAATGTTTAAAGGTCTATGTAAAACTAATCCTACTTCTCACTACATTTCTTACTTTTTAAATGAGTTTATGGTCTCTATCGCTAGTCTCATGTCTTATTCAATACAGAATGGTTCTGAAAATGATGGTTTCACTTAGATTCAGTGTCCAAGTTGCTTGAAGCTGTAAAGAAACTTAAAAATAATTTGTCATCATGACCCATTTCATAAGAAATTCCCTTCACTGGAAAAATCGCTATGAGCACAAAAGATATTATGAATGTGGCTTGTACGTCTTGGGAAGCTTCTGCAGTGGTGCTGATGTAAGGACTCATTAAAAGTACTTCCTGACATATTTTCTAACCTTATTCACTCTTTTTTTGTAATCTTTCATGCTCCATCGCCCTTTGTTGCCCAGGACGAGGCAGCGACTCGGATGCTGATGCCCCCAGCAGGAGGCCAGATGTGAGGAAGGATGACATGTTGGCCAGACGGACGGCCAGCAGTGAATCAAGAAGCTTCGTTCCCTTTAACCAGTTTCTTCCCAACCGAACCAACACCAGCTGCTACATCCCCGCTCCACGCCGAAAAACACATACAGAGGAAGGAGATCAGCGGAGGTAATGACCAGCAAATTAGTGCACTAAATAATTCAGATACAAATAATGCATATTAAGAGCTGCAATGGAAAAATACATAAAAGGAGCTGAAGAATCACATAAGACACACACACACACACACACACACACACACACACACACACACACACACACACACACACACTCTTCATCATCCCTAATCTGTCCCTGCCGTTACACACCGTTCCCCAGTCAAGCCTCTCAAGAGCAGTCCACAACAACTGGACCGCAACACAGAACTCCCAAGACTGTCACTTGGGCACCCGAGAAAAATGAGGAAAAACAGGAAGAGGAAAAAGTGAGGCAGGAAGTGTTGGAGCAGAAGAAGCTGCAGAGGTTGAAGAAGGCAGGGATTAAAGTTCTGCCTGCTGCCGCTCGCTACAGCAGGTCAGAGAGCAGCGGCATGAGAGCTGCTGTGGTTTGACAGTTTTTGGTCGTGTTCACTAACGGATCGTTATGATGGTCATTTTAATTGTGTGTTTTTCTGGTGCTCTATTCACACTGGAGGTTTGGGTTTGTGCAGATATCTGGTTTGAGCAATTTGGCTTATTTATAATGCGTTTTGGGATCGAGATCTGACTAACTGCTCGATACTGTTTCTGTGTTTTATATGTGAGAGCTTGATTCAAGTCTTGACTGTTATTAAGGGGAAATTGAGCCACCTTTTACTTAGTGTTTAGTGTTTACATCAGTGTTGATGGTAAATGCATTCAATTATAACGCTGTCATTTGATGCGTCAAGGACGTAGTTGGATGCAATGAACATCTAGAAACTACTTTAGCTTAGGTTTCTATCTCAGGTTTCTTATGAATATATCATACACTGAGGATTGTATTGGTTCAGTTAATCACAGTTACCATCAACAGTGATTGGGCATTCACATTAGGTGGCAAATGTTTCCTTTAATATTGTAAACAAACTTGTAATGGGCATGGATTGCTACTCGGTTGGTTTGACAGGTGATACATTTGCCTGTGAACTATGATTTAATCAATGGGACCTTGCAATATTACACAAATTGTGGACGCATGTCAAATGGGAACTTTGCACGACGCTACCTCTGCTCTCAGCATGCAACAAAGGATTTTAATAACCTATGAATGACCTTTTCACACCAGCCCTCCAACAATGGAGGAACAGGAAGTGAGGTCTCCGTCCCCGAGCATCATCCTTCGCTGCGAAAATGAATTTTTGAGCAGTCAGAAATCTGCGTGGGACTCTTCCTCTGATGCGGAAGAGGAGGCCGAGGTGCGGAAAGTCCCGGATGTTCGTAAAGACGATCTAGCATCCAGACGAGCTCATCGCGGCACGGTTGCTCCCAAGGTGCACCAGTTTGTCCCAACACCTGCATGTAGCAGCAAAGACAGGGAGCGCTGGGAAGGCATTAGACGAGCCTCGCAGCAAACACTGCAGGAGAAGGAGATCAGGTTAGCTGAAGTTTGTTTGTGTGTGCTGCCATTTCTCTTCCATTTGCTCTCCAACTCTCACACATTTTCCTACTTTTTCCTTCTTTGCGTGCTGTGGTCACTCGTGGTTTGACGTGTGTGTGCTCAACTTTGTTTGCTGTGTGTTGCGATTGGCTCTGTGATTGGACAGTGACAAGGAAAAAGTCCCTGACATCATTACACGCCGAGACAATCCTTTCCTAAACTCCGCCCCTCGCCACGAGGAAGAGGAGGACGGGGAGGAAGAGGGAGAAGAGGGGAAGGTCATAGCAACGCCTAATAAGCAGAAGGATGACCTGGCTCGTAGGCGGGCTCTGAATAAGTCCCTCCCTCACAGGGACGGACCACTGAGCTTTGTTTCTGCCCCAATGAGCGAGAAAGATATGCAGAGGTGGGAGAGACTCAAGATGACTGAACCCAGGTGCCCAACACACTCTCTCTGTTTCAGCACATGCAGTACAAAGCACTTAAATGCTGCTGTATGTCAAGTGTGTGGGCGATAATGACTAAGTGCAGTGTGTGTGTGTGTGTGTGTGTGTGTGTGTGTGTGTGTGTGTGTGTGTGTGTGTGTGTGTGTGTGTGTGTGTGTGTGTGAGCCTTTCAGATGAAGCTGCAATCCAGTTATTTAAAGGGATATTGCTTAAATCCCTAACAAACAATGGCTTTACCACATTTGGTGCTTTATTTGGAAAGCCGATGAAACTTGATTCCTAAATAAACAGCAACATCTATGTTATCTACACAAAGTAAGGGGTTTCATAAATGTGAATCTATTACTTCAATACTTCCTTTATTATTCAAAATTCAAAATCATTTTTTATTTATTTTTTTATTATATGTAGGATATCTTCCTGTTACTTTTTGTGAATCGAAATAGTCCATTTGATGATGTCTTTTTTTAGCTGTTATGATTAATTCAGTTATCAAAAAACACATTAACAGGTAAATACTCCATAATGTAAATAGAAGTTCACACATTTAACCCTTAAATGGGCAATCACATATACATATGTTAACAGAGTTATAACACCCGTATTTCACCTATATTACACTGTTATTAGACCTATGTTACACTGTTATTACACCTATGTTACACTGTTATTAGACCCATTTTACACTGTTATTAGACCCATTTTACACCCATTTACACCCAATTTCAACAGTTGTTGTCTTTATTATCTTGTACACTTTTGTAAGCACCATAATCTCCACCAAATCTTAGTTTCCTTTCTCTTCTGGTCTCATTTTCTCCCCATGTTCTCATCAGCTTGTTCATTCTCCTCACCATTGTGCTCTTCAGACCTCTTCAGTCTTCTTTGGCACGCATTGAAACAGAGTTGGGAATTGGTGTGTGACCAAAAGAGAAGGGGACTGTTGGCTCAGAGCACTGCTTGGGCTTTTTTCCCCCTCTCAGCACTGATGTCATTAGATAGGATAAAGAGTTTTTTGTGTTCCCAGTAGAGCTGCAGTTACTAGGAAAAGGGACTATACCTAGTGTGCTTGGTGTGTGTGTTGTGAATGTACGTGTGTGTGGAAGTCATTAAGTACACAACCCCATGCTCTGTCCCCTTCTGTCCATCCACACTTCCTGTCTGATTCATCATTTCCCACTCATGCTTCCTTTGTCTCCACAGTCTGATCCTCTCTTTCTGGTTGCTCATGATTTATTTTCCGCCCTCTTTATTTCCCCCCTGCTCTTCTCCTGGTTGTTGTTGTTGTGTGTGTGTGTGTGTGTTTGTGTGTGTGTTCGTATGCCTTCATGTGTGAGATTGTATCTACAGTGAGGCCAGCCCGGCCCCAGCCGTGTGTCAGGCTTGTCTGGAGAAAAATTATGGAAGTCCTTTCAGCGGATCAGCAAAGGCTAGACGGGGTCACTGCAAAGTTGTGACCTTTGGGGGCGTGACAGAGATCGAGCAGCCAGTAGACACAATCGCATCAAGTGAAGGGGAAGAGACGGAGTTGCTAAGACGACTCCTTTCCAAGGCAACTGTAGCCATGCCTACTATTGGTCTGGGCTCCCAGCTTTCAGAGCGGGAACGCAGGTACGGACGAGGCCAAATACGACTTAGGCTACAGTGTCTTGAATCCAAAGTCTCTTGCATTAGTGTGGACTGCACTGACAAAAAAATAGGTCCCTATCTTTTTATATTATCTATTGAAGGATTTAATATGATTTCTTGTGATGTTGATTTATATAATCTTTCACATTTCAGGCTTTTTTGAATTAGTAAAGTAGGTAGTGTGGCTGCACCTCTCTCTGCATTGTCCTGATTTGCTTGTAGTTTTAATAGTAGGTAACAAAGGTACACGCACACATGCATGTACATGCTGCTGTGACAACTAGTAATATAATAAACAACTTGTATTTGAAGTATCAAAGACATGATTTAGGAAGTATTTAAAAAGTGTCTTCACTACATAGATAACAAACCCCCTTTTTTTTGGGTCAAAAATGTAGGTTTATGTATTGGCCATTATATCAGGTTTCTTAATTTTCTCAAATATCAATATTGATATCCGCTTAAAAGTGATGGTCGGGCTTCAGACACCAATTATAGCAAATGCACAATTTGTGCACTTCTATAATGTATTTTTTCTGGTCAAAGGGCTTTTTCTTTTAGTTTTGCATCTCTTTTGCATGGTTTTTCTTACCTTAATCTATCGGCTCCTAAAACACTCTTTGGAATGGTTTTCAGTTTTAATTCTTCTCTTCTTTTCCTTCTCTTTTCTTTACTCTTGGTCACCACTTGTGCACTAACATAGTAGCAAGTTTGGGTATTATTGTTGTTGCTGTTTGAGCTTTATATGATGCTCTAATAGCCAGGTGGATGGAGCTGACCTCAATCAAACCACCCCTGCCTTTACTGCCCTCCCACCCTGCACCCCTGAGACCCCTCCTACTCCTGCCGAGATGGATGCACGTCTGGCTCAGTATGAGAAAAGAGCAGAGGAGGATGATGATGAGGAGGAGGAAGAAGAGAGGATCCCAGATCTTCAGAAAGACGACATGATGGCAAGGAGGACAGGAGTTTTCCATAAACAAAGCACTTCTACAGCGACGTTCAACCGTTTCCTGCCTCTGCCCAGTACCAAGCGCTGCACTCAAGGCGAGGTCACCACTGACGCGGCTCCGCGGAACAGAAGGGAGGTGCAGGCAGACAGGAGAGAGAAAGTAAACGCCAGGTGGGCTGAGATTTGTGTGTCTAACAGTGTGAGGAGGAGCACTAACACGCTTGGTGTGGTTTACATCCAGAAAGAGAGCTTGATGTTTATTCAATTCAAGGAGTTTCTCTCATAGAGTGGAGCAACAGCAACCCAGAGTTCCCATGGAAACACCTGAGAGGACTGTAATCCGAGCAACGTCTCACAGAGAATATGACGATGAAGAGGATGAGTATGATGAAAACGAGCCTTTGCCTGACCTGGAGAAGGACGATATGATGGCTCGAAGGACCGGATCATTCGTAAAACCCAGTTCAGTCAAAACAAATCAGACCAGAAACCAGTTCCTGCCGGTACCTGGATCAGTGAAGTATAAAGTCGCCCCTGTGTCTGCAATGAAGCCTCTGCACAGCAGACCGAAACTCACTGAGAAGATGGCCAGTGAAAGGTATTTCATGTGTTTGAGTGATGAAGAGACTGGGGTGACTAACAAAGCATATTTCACAGGAAGAGAAGGTTTGAGTGTGTTTGCAAGTTAAATTACCTGCAGTACGGACACTAATACAACTGTGTGGGGGATTTACAGCTGATCCAGTGTTGTTGTTTTGGTTCCAAGCCTGCATGTGTGAGTGCCTGCAGCTGGACTCTTGACTTCATTTGTTTTATTTGTATATGAAGGTTATATGATGGATTTGATTTGATGTTGTGGTTGGATTCTTGGAGTTCTCTTTCTCATATGGCTTGGTGAGGTTTGTGCTTGGTTTGGACTAATATGGCCTTTTTCTATTTGCTGTTGAGGTTTAACATTGACTTTGTTTGGCATGACGTTGGTAGTTTTGTTCGACTTGAATATGAAGCGGTTGGCTGTTGTCTCTGTGTTTAAAGTATAAGTCACAGCTGAATCACAATGGGGCAAAAAACAGCTGCTACTCTCTGGTTGGTTCACCCATATAATAAGAAAAAAATAACTTCATTGATCCTTTGGGGGGGAAATTGTGTTACCCTACAGATTCTCCTAATCAAGTTATAAACAAAGATACTTTATAAGAAAAATATAAATAAGAAAAATATGTGCATTATTCGACAATATATAGCTAACATAATAAATGCGCAGAACTAGAAATATGTTAAAATATATTTACTATAATATATAACAACAGTGTAAAAAAAAAAATGGGACCTTTGATTTTAAAATATAGGAATAGTATGAATAAGAATATAACATAAACACTTACACATTACGCATGTTATTACACGGCTTAGTTGAATACTCGACTCTGATTGGTCCTCACCATGTTTGTGGTTTATATTCATTAATGACAGCCTCGCTGCACAGTATCCCTGCAATAATACCCTTAATTGCATAGTGTTGAAGGCAGATATATGAAAATGTTTGAGAATGAACACACATCTAGCATGAGTAAATACCATAAGATGTAATTGCAATCAAACATTTCTTGTAATTTGGGTGAGGTGACTCTTTAGGCCTTGTTCTTCTCTTTTATCCTGCAACATGGAACATGGCTAAAGGTTTCAGCACTGCCTCTGTTGTCCGTGATTCAGTTTTGATTTATGCGTTGTATGTATTTGCTGGTAACCTTGGCCTTGTGACTGGATTTTAGCAGCATCGTTACCGTGGCAGCAGAACCTCAGGCTTCGCTCTCCAGAGCCTCGACCCTCCTTAAGTGTGCCGGTCTGAGGGAGAGGCAGGGGGCGGATGGGAAGCAAGAGGGACACATGACGATCCCTAAAACCTCTGTGACAGATGTTACAGAGCCCCTCTCTGCTCCGTCCTCCAGCTCTGCCACTTCCCTAACTTGCAAAGTGGATAAGTCAAGTGTAGAGGAGAGAGTGGAGGAGAGAAAGACAGAAATGAACGAAAGAAAGAAACCATTCTGGCTGGACGAGGATGATCTGCCTCCCATCATGTGAGATGCTCTTTTTGTGTCGTCATGCCTCCCCCTTCTCAGATTTCCCTCTACCATTTATCCGGTTGGAATTGACGTTAGCGTTTATGCTGCTGCCCATTCCCTCACCTGCTCCTTCCTCTCATTCACTTTACTCTGTTATTGTTTTAGGGTGAGCCGGCGAGTTGCTTTTATGTCTGAGGACACTGAGTAAGTCTTTCTGCGTGACGAGATTCTGCATGAAAACAATATTGACACTCTGTGCACGTTTCATTACAAAGGAACATCCAAACACGCTCACATTATGCTCACCTTTGTGTATCATCATTACTAACATGCAGCTTTTTATTGTCATTTTTTTATTTTCATGTAATTCTCTTTTACACTTTTTGTTTAAAAAAAAAAATGAATAGTTTGGAAGTACCGTATATTACCCAATGATTAGGTTGAGGAAATGGGTTTGTCCTTTCAAAAGAAGTAAGATATGATTGCTCGGTTGCTTGTTGAATTGATTTGTTTCTGGAAACAGCTTACATAGCTAATATAAATCAAGAAAAAAGAAAATGAGAATTATAATGCAATATTTGTGTTTGGTGGACTTTTACTGGTTGTTTTAACTTTATGCTTCATGTTCATATCTTGTAGACTATCTTTGTCTACATCATCTATCCATTTTTGAAAAAGAGGGCATGTTTCTTTCCTCATGGTTCCACTTCGATCTTAGAATGTGTATTTATATTTATTACATTATTTTTTATTTATTTTCTATTTATTCATTTATTCAACAGGGACAGTGCACATTAATGAACATTTCTGTAAATGTGCCAGTTAGCCAAGATGCTATTTTTCATCTGGACAGATTTTAAAAGTCAACCTAAAACACATTTCATTTGTATTGTGTAATCGTAAGTGCTCGACACTAACAATGAATTCATTAATTTAATATTTTCTGTTTTGCAGAGCCAAATTTGACCAACTTAATATGCCAAAGTGTATTCAGTCATTTATAAAAGATTATTCAATATTTGTTTGTCTAGGACCGTGAGCATGAGTGACATACTTAACGAGGAAGAGGTGGGACACTTACCGCCAGTGAGCCAATCACGAAACGAGCGCATGCACGAGCAGTACAACAACTCTCAGGAGGACGACGACCCCTGGAGAAACGTAAGAATCTGAGTTAGTGAGGTCCATTGAAAAATAAAATAGGTTGTGCATCTTATTTAAATAATATCAATGTTATTTGAACATGAATATAACCTGAATCTTCACACTATGATCTCATGACAGGACTTGGCTCGCTGGAAGAATCGGCGTCGCTGTGCATCACAGGATCTGATCAAGAAGGAAGAAGAGAGGAAGAGGATGGAGAAAAGGATGAAGGAGGAGGGAATTGACAGTAACAAGAGGAAAAGCATTAAAACCTACAAAGAGATCGTAGAGGAGAAGTAAGGATGATATTGATACTCTTTGTAGTGTTGATTGTAGCCCTTAACTTGAGATCAACAAATGTAAACCTAATATCTCTGTCAACACGCTAACAATAGCGAAACCATATCAGAAACACTGCCTGGACACCAAATGCTTTGTGTCTCTCTACTTCTCTTGTCTAGGGAGCGCAGAGAGCTCGAGTTGTGTGAAGCCTACAGGGATGCAGGGACTCCAGAAGAGGCTGCCATGGTTTTACAGCGCTACGCTCTTCGCTTCACCATCAGTGACGCAACACTGGACAGCTTAAAACTGCCCAGATCCACCTCAAATTCTAAACAGGAACATAATCAGGCGGACAAGCAGAACACATTGACTCCCACTATTGATGACACATCAGAACCGCCGGACAAACCAGAACAACCTGTGATAAAAGAGCAGAGGCACACAGAGCCTGAAGACATGGAGACAAAAAAAACTCAACAAGAGACGTCAGTTTCGGTCTCCTCCAGCTCCGGGTCACCTGGCAGCCCCCTCAGCCCCGTCACAATCTCAGAAAATGTCCCCCCTCAGTCCCTTAAACTAAATGAGCCTCGAGCCAAACCGACAGAGTCTCCAACCGCTCCGCAAAAACCACCAGCTGCAGAAGAAACAAAGCCTCATACCAATCACGCTCGGCCTCAAATTGTTCAGGTGCAGCCTCACACCACACAGCCCACATACACACTCCCCTCCCCCCGACCTGTCTCCCCCCGACCCGTCCCCCTGCTGGCAGCCAAACCCTACTGCAAGCCCAGGAGCACACAGTCCGGACACAAACCCGTCAAGGTGAGAGCTTCATATCAGTCGCGGCACTCAGCATCATCTGATACTTCACTGTTCCAGCGCAATGCATGACTGCATGCACCAATGAAAGGAGGTGTCTGTTGTATTTAGGGAAGTGCTAACATTTGAACTTCTTGACATTTCACATATTCTGTCATCTATTTACTTTTGCATTGTTTTTCTTCTATAATTTTGTGGCTAGATTAACGGAACCCTAAACTTTGAACATAAAGAAGTAGTTCATAACAATATAACTGATGGGAGAATGTATTATTAAAAACATGAAAAAAAAACTTTGAAACAACATGCATAAATGTGTGTTACTGAAAATGATGTGATTCCTGTATCCTGACCTCTCTGTGTTTCCCCCTCAGATGGACGGGTTGGTGCGAGTTAATGGAGAGGTGACTGAAGATGTACCTTGTTCCACTCCACCGACCTCTGCTCTGCACTCGCCATCAAAGGTCAAAGATGTTCCCTCAGAGCAGAAGGAGGAAGAAGTTCCCTCCAAACAGACGGAGAAAGATGTTCCCTCCAAACATACGGAGAAAGGCGTTCCCTCAGAGAAGATTTCCACTAATCACGAGAAGGTGGAGCACACGCCTTCTCCTCAGAGAGAAAAGCCAACATCGTGTTTGGGCTCTGCCATCAGCTCCCTGATTGGAGGCAGAAACAGTACCACCACCACCATTATTGTGACCGAGCTCACACATACGGAGCCACATCACCCAGATATCCACAGCAATGGACAGGTAATATCACAGGTAGCATGTTCGTCAATTTAATACACAATTAATAAAGTCAGAGGTAAACAGACGAAGTTATAAAGCAGTCAATAAAATATATATATTTTTATGTTTTGAATAATTCCGACCACAAGATGGCTTTGGGCATTAAGTCATAAATATAAACAAAACCTATAAGTCTGATGGGTCCAGTAGTATGCAAGATAAGCTGCACACAGACAGATACACACTCCCTGGCGGAGATAGTTATGTGGTTTTCCTACGTAAGTTGTGTCATGGCTCAACGGAAAAGGTGTGAATTGTTTTCATTCATTTTCCATTCTGGTGCATTCAGGCGTTTATGGAAAGCCTTAACACCTGAGACACAGGAGGCAGCTGTGAAAAATGAAAGCCAGGGGACAAAATGAAAGCACACAGTTAGAAAATTGAATTATGAATTAAGTTACTTGTTGCATTAAAAGGTTGCAGCCTAGCAACTGACTTGAAATCAACCACACAGAGGAGTCCAAAAGAAATATCCTTCAGACTTTATTAGTGTAGTGAGCATGGATACAGAAATACAGAAGAAGAATACTGTAATATGCTCAAGGAAATAAATCTTAGTCTCCCAACCATACAGTTTGGACATAAATCCTAAAAAAGACTAAACACTCCTCGCCCAGTTGCAACTTCCTTAGTTTTAAACACCAAATAATGTTTGTTTGCAGTTTAGTCCTTGTTGGGGAACATGAGCCTGAACTGAAAAACTCCTCCGCTGTCTCTGTGATGATTGTTCTATGTAAAGCAAGTTCTGCTCACGTTGATTTTAATATTGTATTTACATGAACTGAAGCCAGCGACTGCCTTGACAACACATAACAAAGGAAAGACTTCAGTATACTCATTACATTTGATTTGCACTAAATACAAATACCAGAGGTGTCCACTCATTTTTTATGAATAAAAATAAGAGAAAGAAATCCTTTTGGATCCACCTTGTGTTTTATTAACTGGTTGAACATTTTACTTTCAGGTCAACGGTACTTCTGGGTTATCCAGTCCAGTGGAGGAGAACAAGTCTCAGTCGGCTCCATCATCATACAGCATGCAGGATTATTCTCCCACTGTCACAGGTAACAGTTTTATAATATAGATCTGTTTTATTTCTATAAGCGTATTGATTTACATTATTTGCATTTATTTACAATTTACAGAAACACTTGACTTGACTGGCTTTCTATATATATATATATATATATACACTGTTTATACCGTATATATTTTAAAAGACTATAAATAAATATATCTAAATAATGTCTATGAACATTTATCCAGATGTAAAGCAAGCTGAAGTGTATAAATGCTCAGTGTTTCCCACAGAATCTGATTCTATTTGTGGGGGCACCGCACCGCACCCCCCACGTTGTTGTTGTTCTGTGTTTCGTTGTTAATGAGTGAAACACACCGGAGTTGAGGATCTGTGGGGTTTATTCTCCCAAAAATATAATTTACAATTCAGGCATTTAGCAGACGCCTTATTCCAAAGCGACTTCCAATGACCAATTACAGGGACATTCTCCCTGGAGTAACCGAGGGCTAAGTGCCTTGCTCAAGGGCACACTAGTAGTGGTGTTCCAGGCAGGATTTGAACTCTCAACCTTCCGATCATCAGCCCACCTCACTATCCATTAGACCACCAAAAAAAAAGAATAATAATAATAATATTTTTTTTTTTTATGAGATCCATTTGTGGCGAACGATATTTATTTGTAGCGGCCTGCCACAAATAAATCAATGTATGGGAAACACTGAATGCTTGTTTAGTTTGACTATGATTATGTATCTCTATATATAATATTAGTTTTTTAAATAATTATCCTCTTGTTACGTGTAATACTCGGCCTATAGATCTGATTCTGATCTTAATGTTGCTGTGTGTGTCGTTCTCCTCCACAGAGGGGCTTGAGGAGAGCAGTGTGACTGTGAGTATCTCTCGGCATCTCCAGCTATTTTTATTTTCTGTTCTTCCTTCATTCTTACATTTGACCCTGTCCTGACCCTTCGTCTCCAGTAGTCGCTGTTGTCAGACTTGTCCTCTCACCTTTCCTCTCTTTCTGTCCTTTTGGTCCCTATACATGTGTGTGTGCGTGATTGTCGGGGTGGTCTGAGTAGATTGAGACCCCCATGTTGAACTTGGCTAAACGTGTTAATCACTGGGTCTGGGACCCTAATGAGGAACGTAAACGCCTGGAAAGTTGGCAACAGGAGCAGGAGCGCCTCCTTCAGGTACACTGGTGGAATGGTGTGTATGTGCATGGCACTGATAGCTCTAATTATATCTCACTTTCAACATCCTCGATTCCTTTCCTTGCTTCCTTTCCTTACTTCTTCGAGGATGTAGGAGAGAGAAGTGGATGCACAAAATAGACAAATTAAGAGGCATGAATTTACAGCAAAAGCACTGGGTGTGTGTGTGTGTGTGTGTGTGTGTGTGTGTGTGTGTGTGTGTGTGTGTGTGTGTGTGTGTGTGTGTGTGTGTGTGTGTGTGTGTGTGTGTTTATATGTTTACTTCTATGTTATTT